CCAGCATCATATTCGTTGACGAGATAGATTCACTTCTATCCCAACGGTCTGGATCCGGAGAGCATGAGGCTACTAGGAGGATCAAGACCGAGTTTCTCATACAGTGGAGTGACCTACAGCGAGCTGCGGCAGGACGTGAGAACAGCACCGGGACAAATAAAGACCGAGGTGATCCAAACCGGGTCCTTGTCCTGGCAGCTACCAACCTGCCGTGGGCCATCGACGAAGCAGCGAGGCGGAGATTCGTGAGGCGCCAATATATCCCTCTACCCGAAGCAGAAACTAGGGCTATTCAGTTGAAGACGCTCCTTGGGCAACAGAAGCATAATCTTACGGACACCGATATTGCGGAATTGGTGGACCTCACAGACGGTAAAGATCAATATAAATCTACAAGGTACATATAACGCAATGCTAATCAGTATATATCTAGGCTTCTCAGGCTCAGATATCACAGCATTAGCCAAAGATGCAGCGATGGGCCCCCTCCGAGCACTAGGGGAGGCTCTCCTTCATATGACAATGGACCAGATCCGCCCTATAGAGCTGGCAGACTTCAAAGCCAGCCTTCGCACGATTCGTCCCAGCGTTAGCAAAGAAGGACTGAAGGAATATGAGGATTGGGCAAGGAGGTTTGGCGAACGTGGTGGATGAAACCTCGTTATGATTATAAACCCCCCTTCTCACCTCCTCCCTCCCGGGTCGTATTGCGATTCACAAATAGCGAAATTAGAAGGAATATCGACGGCGTTCTAGGCATTAGGGAGCGACGGGTTGACATACGATACCTAGGGTCAGATATCTATTCAATATGAATTATGTCAACGCATTGTCTTTTGAGTAGCCAAGGCCGTACGAATCTGTAGTTGTACATATGTTACATGCGGGTGATTTGGTATATACAAGGTCACCAGCAGCGCAATACTGAAGTCGCGTTTGGCGATCTCTTTAGATCAAGCTGGTGATAGGCCACTCTTGGTAAGCTTACGCTCTATTCGCTGGCTCTTTCTATTTGAGCAACCATGTCGTTTCAGTCGACATCTTCTATTGTCGTAGGTTGGGCAGGTGGTGGAGTCTTGCCACTTGCTTTCAAGGCCTTTCTTGCTTCCTGAGCGGCCTTTTCCTCTGCCCTTATCCTGGCCTGCTCTTCCCTCCGTGCAGCTCTTCGCTCGTCTTTGGCGGCTCTCTTTGCGGCTACTTCGGCCTCCCTCTCTTCTAGTGTAGGAATGGGTGGCCGTTCGTCAATGGGATCGCCATATGGCGCTATTATGTGTTTGACGACATGTCGTACATGCTGTGATACTCTCCAGGTCGGCGTTATGGCTACCACGTCGCCCTGTCGGACGGAGTTGCGAGGGTCGTGGACTAGCTTGAATCGTGGTTCTTTGAAGTACTAGACGGAAGAATTGAGAGTTAGCTACAGTCTATTGGAACCGGGTGTTTATGCGGCCTGGCTAACCTTCTGTACTCTCGGCTCCCATCTTAGTCCACCTAGCTTTACCTTCACGGTCTTGTCCATTAGACCAGCAGATACCACGATACCGTGCATCTCCTTCCCTGCTCGTCGCATGGTATTGGCGGCCGCTGCCGCGACTTCGGAGGCCATCTTTTGTCCTTTTCACTCTAGCTTCGCCCTTTAAATCCCTCGGTTGCTATTTTGTTATCATGCTATTATGATGATATGTTAGCTCGCGATTTCGTATTGTCAAGTCGCTTTATTCAACCGATCACCAAAAGATTTTGGAATAACTCTGAAAAGTCCACGGCTCCCATTGGACAGAGGCCCGGAGGCTCCACTCCCTTACAAGGCGGGAAAACGGTTCCGCCGGTACCTTATCACCTGCATCGATAGGTAGGTACCCATAAGTACTTAGGTACATGTAGGTAATCCCGAGTCTTTGAAGCTCCAAGGGTCCACTCATACTTTAAAATAACGCCAGCACACTGGAATCTACACTGAGCCATCTTGCTTTTTATATCAAACGCAGAGAATATTTCTCAACGCAGTGATGAAATATTATTTACAGCTACCTTGAAGCCGCGTCCCCCTAGTCTAGCCGAGCTGACAATGCTGTTACTAAACCTTCAAGCGAAAACCTTTGGTTTCTCAACCTTCATCTGACGATACTACACCAGCAACTCCCAAAAGTACCTACCTAATTCGGGGGTAGCTGAGATAGGGAAGCATCTTCCAGCACGGAAACATTCCGCAGCCTCTACTGTACAACGCCCCAGGTCTTGTGCTAGCATGCGTGTAGATACCAATCTTGAAAAACTTGGCCAAGTCACTACCCGCCAAAGATATCAACAGCATTTCGTCATTCATGAAGCCAAGCCAACGCCGCTCTGCCTTTTTCGGAAGGAATATACGTGAGGCTGGTAACATGCTGGCCCAAATGAGTCTCAGCCCAGACTGCTGAGCCGGGTAAACTATCGCTCCGCTTCTCCCCTGAATGTCCGACTACTAGGTCCAACCTAGACATCTCAGACGATCATTCTCAAGATATCCAACGCACCCTGTCATGGATAAGTAGTTAAATGTCCTAGTTGAAGTTGGAGGCCGCCGTTGGCCGGGTATTTAAACCCGCAATCAGCTTAGATACCACGGCAACGTAGTAAGCGAATTGAAGCCACAAAACATGTACCTCAGTTTCACATGGTCTCTTCGACTGGGACCCAGCTTTCCTAGACCTCCTTTAATCATTGGAATGCATATACTAGACTCCAGGTGTTACCACTATATCTATGGACACCTACCAAGACTAACGGGGATCGACGAATTTTCTATCTCAGCTGAAAATTAGGGTATCCCCGGCCAACCAATAATGTCTCAGACTATCTTTTGATTTATACTACCTGCCTGATCTGCATTGCTATCCAGGAACTTGAAGCCATATTCACAGTCGCGATACGGCCTCCATATTACATTGTAAACGCCACCTCAGTAGACTATACCCGTTCTTTGGGGTGCTTACAACGGGTATAAAAGCCCGCCGTGGCCACGGGCCAACGCCAACGTTAATGATATCCCAAGGCAACCCGACATCGGAAATCAGAGACATTTTATTTGCGAATATGAAGTTCTTCGTTGCCACTTTCTTGGGTCTAAGCAGCGTTGCCCTCGCAGCTGTGCCTGGATTCGATATCTCTCACTACCAATCAAGTGTGGATTTTGCTGCAGCCTACAGTTCCGGGGCGCGCTTTGTTATTATCAAGGTAGCTTTGAGTTCTAAAGAGTAAAGCCGTTCAAAATGGATTTAACTCGTTCTAAATAGGCTACTGAGGGCACCACGTACATCGACCCAAGTTTCAGTAGCCACTATACCGGTGCTACCAAGGCTGGATTCATCCGTGGTGGCTATCACTTTGCTCACCCCGGTTCTTCGTCGGGTGCCACACAGGCCAACTATTTCCTAGCACATGGCGGTGGCTGGTCGGGAGACGGAATCACTCTCCCAGGCATGTTGGATTTAGAGGGTGACTGTGCGGGCCTCTCGACAAGTGCTATGGTCTCTTGGATCAAGGACTTCAGCGATACATATCACAGTAAAACGGGACGCTACCCTCTCCTCTACACAAACCCGTCGTGGTGGTCGAGCTGCACCGGCGGCTCGAGTGCCTTTGTCAGTACGAACCCCCTCGTCCTCGCGCGATATAGCAGCAGCGCTGGAACACCGCCTGGTGGCTGGCCGTATTACACGATTTGGCAGTTTAACGATGCGTACAAATATGGTGGTGACTCGGATACTTTCAATGGAAACTGTAAGTGAACTTGCGAGAGTCGTTACCTGGCCACTACCGAGTCCTACGAATAGGAGGTCCTTGGTGACAGCGCAAACTCTACTTACTCTTATCAACAGTCTTCAGCTAATATGATATTTTAGATGCTTCTCTGCAAAAGTTGGCTAGTGGCTAGTTTTAGGGGCCTTCGACGCACATCCAGGCGGGTGGCGTTACTACTACTATGACATGGTTTAGTCTGATGAATGCCAGGTCTTGGTGTCTTTTTCTTTGGTCAATGATATATCACCATCCTATTATCCTATATTGTTGGTATATTTAGCAGCCATTCCTAGTCTTCCATTTTTCAAAAATGGAGATACTCCTTGCAATTAGAAGGCGACAATTAGCAACTCATCGTCGAATTTATCTCGAGCTGTATCAAGCATACGCCACAACATTCATTGTTTCTGCACCATCTTGCGCCTTGGCAATTTTCCTGATTCAGTTAATCTCCCTATGCTGATGGTGTAAACAGGACCATAGGGATGAAGTCCATTCGCTAGACGATCACTGCTAGCTGTCCCCCATCTAGAATCTAGAATTAGAACACAATGACTAGGATATGAGAATTTGAGAACAAATGCTATCCACCATGTCTCATGTCGATACTAACATACACTACGCGTTATAGCAGTTTTATTAATGTATCTTATCCTGGAATGATTATAAGTCAAGGTTTGACACTGTCATTTCTAGGATCTGTGAAATATCTGACTAGTATGAGGAAATTATTTGTGTTGTACAATGTGAATTGCAAGACTGCTATTTCTACGCTTGATTTCTCTTGTAGGTGAAGATAACGATGATTTAGGTTGATACGTTTCTCAGATTCCAAAGTCATAACCAGCAAAAGACACCGGATTGAATATTTTGACAGATACCTCACGAAAACCTTCATTGTGTTGGCGATCACTGGATACCTTGTAGCGTAGCTAATTATGTAGGTACTAGATCCCTTGCCATATACTCACACAAGCACATAGTGAGTGTCATAAGCAGCCCCGTAAGTGTCGAGATTTGAAGTGAATACCTGAGCCTCCTTGAAATGGTACGTGCTTACCTATTAAGCATACCATGATAGGCGGCGAGTTAGCCCTCCTTTGCTACCTAGGTAACCATTCACGCGACCGTACAAAACATATATAGCAAAGCAAAACAAAACATATATAGCAACATTGCGTCGCCAAATTTAACAAGAACATCAGTTCTGGTGCAGCGGTGTCTTGGAGAAGTGGTTAACTCGCTCCCTTTGGGCTTGTGCAAGCTGGGAGAGGTCAGGGGTTCGAACCCCCTAGGCGCCCCTTTCTTATTTTTTTTGTTTTAAATTTCTGCTCCTTCCACATTAGTTTACTTCGATAATAGTGCATCATTTTCGCCATTTCACAAGGTTGTATTAATAACTTACCATACCCGCTCATCTGCCTGCGTTCCTTTCTCCTTAAGCTCTCTAAATATCTCATAAACATTCATAGTAGGCCAAGATGATTCACAAAATATATACTCAGAAAGAAACGGTTTATTTCCCCTACATTATTGATGCAGTTATCCTATGTGCAGGGAGCTATCATAACCTTCAGTTATATTTTACAGACACCTTCCTCGATCAAGATCCGGTGTTAATATATAAATTTCTACCAAGCCTGGAGCCGTGAGCCCCAAGTACATTACATTCTGTGAATATTTCATTCACATTGAAAAGTCCATACTTCAAGGCCCCTTAAGATACATTTTGCCTGGGGCTTTTCATATCTCTGCCCTTCTCCCGTACCCCTTTTGTATATAATATATTTACCGCGTGGCGTATAATAATGCCTAATATCATGGACGTGAACAGAATCATCACACATACATACATTCCTAGGTCATGAAGCATGTTTGGTATTTATCGTGTTGTTGAGTTTGATACATTCGTTGTTTTAATTTTGACTATTTCCTAGGCGCGTGGCTAAGGAAAGAGCTAGGCTTCGTATATTACAGTATGACTCTTCCATCGAAAGGATACAGAATAGCGTTTAATAAATCATCAACTATGAATTGGTAGTATTCGTATCCACCACTACGTGGCATGAAGGAAGCCACCCACCCAGGTAAGTGACCCTTTGCTTCAGCAGGGACAACAACTGGATTTGTAAATTAAGCTAACTGCAATCACACATGGATATGACAGCATAAACATATGAAGACATCCAATGGAATAAAAGGGTATATATTCCTAGGTATCCTAACTAGCTCTATATTCAAACTGTTTGACTTATCTGGGCGGTAGCTTCAACTTATGATGCCACATAAAAATGGGGCATACTTACGACTATTTTATAATGAGTTACTTCATGCCATTGACAAACATTTATACGATATCACAGTACGTCTGTTTCGAGGTTTCCCTTAATTCATCTACCGCGCCTTGCGTGTCTATTAAATCGTGGCTGTATTCAAAAGACGTGGTGGGCGCTATGATTGGCATGATAACGCCAACATATCCTTATCGAGACCTTGAACCCGATTTGCTGCCTGAATATTACTAAGCCTTCCTACTCAAGGCATTTCTCGGCCTGGAGAAGGGAAACATGGCGCTGAGGTGGCAAGGATTGGTTGGCAAAAATTGCGCGCGTGGATGAGGAATACTTTCTCCGATATTGTTAGTTGTAATGCATATGTTGTGATTGTCGGAAGTTGGACGCCTGTCTTGCAACACCGAGTAAATCAAAATACTCCGGTATGACGGTGGCTCGCATCACTTTGCTGACGACTGCAGGTAATGTTGGTCTTAAAAGTTACTCCGAAATCCTTGTCATAATGCAAGCTGAGTAAGATTGATAACTCCCTCAGTCATTCCTGCAGGCTCGAGCAGCAAGGCAGGAATTGTCTCTCCGATATTGATGGATTTGTGGATGGATGTGCTTCGGAAGAGTCTCTGCCAATTCGGAATCTGTTTCTATTTCGTTTTCGGTGAATTTCTGTAGTAAGAAGTAAAGTTCTACGGAATCGGAGGCCGAAGCCGAAGCGACAACCCCACGTGCTTAGTGCCCGCGATTGACAGAACCTACATCTATAGGACCCTGGAAGTGCATTCGGAGTGGGGCAAAGTTTAGGAGGGGTTGGAGTTGGAGGGGCTGAGGGGTTAGCTTGCAGTTATGCAGTGAAAACTACCTAAACTGTCGTGTAACCACGCAGGACAATTGGATGGAACCGATAGCAATACGTCTACCCTTATCGGTGGGTACCGGTGCCTGACCGAACTAGCCAGAGACAAAAATCCTCCAGATCTCCACATACCTTCTCATTATGCTCCTTCCAACCAAATTTCTTCACTTCATTACCCAACAATAGTCAGCATTTCAACTAAACAGACTCAGACATAATTCTCGAAAATATCCTTTCTTAATAATTTACTAGTAATTGCCAGTCGCGTTCTGTTTGCTCACTAGAAAACTTGAGATTACCCATTACTTCTTATCCCAGTCTTTCCACTTCGGATATTTCCATCATGCCTACAACAACAGCGTATCGTGCAGGCAAACGACCTCGTAAGTTCGAGATTTTGGTTTTCTTTTTTTATTCTCTAGCAGAAGGAGAGACACGACACGGCTTCGGCCATTCCACCTATCGCCTCTAGGTAGCTCCGAGCGGTCATCTCAGCCGCACACCGCGCTCTTTATGATATTCCCACACCGCTTTACAAAGGATTCAGTTAAAGGAAACTGCCGTGGCCCATAGAGATCCCTAGGGATCTTACGGTACCAGCGAATACGGATTTCTCTCTCGTCTTGCCTCTGCGATATCAATAAGTGGCGTATCTAACACCAATGGCTTCTCCTGCAGGTACCCAGTCGTTACCTCCTCCAGCTCTTCCCCAGCTAGTCGCAGAGCAACAAGTACCCATTCCCACCAGTGACAAGGACAGCCAAAGACTCATCGTCGTCCTATCCAATGCCAGCCTCGAGACCTACAAGGCGTCGCATGGTGGTGGCGCTGGCCGCGCTGGCATGCAGCGCGAGGACAAGTACTCCCTGCTTAATAGCGACGAGCACATCGGAGTAATGCGAAAGATGAACCGCGATATTAGTGACGCACGACCCGATATTACACACCAGGTACGCTGTATATCTCAGTCTATGTACTCTTCAACAAGCCTTGTCTCTCGAGTTGGCATTCAACATGCTGACAGTGTCTTGAACTGATATAGTGCCTCCTTACTCTTTTGGATTCGCCCATCAACAAAGCGGGGAAGCTGCAGATATACATCCAGACAGCTAAGGGTGTCCTAATCGAGGTGTCACCAACTGTACGAATTCCGAGAACATTCAAGCGTTTTGCTGGATTGATGGTCCAACTGCTCCATCGTCTGTCCATCCGCTCCACCAACTCACAGGAGAAACTTCTTCGAGTTATTCAAAACCCCATCACGGACCATCTTCCACCCAATTGCCGCAAGGTCACACTGAGTTTTGACTCGAGTACGGTGCGTGTACGAGACTACATCCAGAACCTTGGACCGAAAGAGAGCATATGTGTCTTTGTCGGTGCCATGGCGAAAGGCCCCGACAACTTCGCCGACGAGTACGTGGACGAGAAGATCTCGATTAGCCAATACAGCCTCTCAGCAAGCGTTGCGTGTAGCAAGTTTTGCCACGCTGCCGAGGATGCCTGGGACATCATCTAGGATAGCCTTCCAAGCTAAACCCTTTAGAAGGGAGAGAGAGGAATGCGAGAGGAGGGTAGGTAGTGGAACGTTGTTAGGTATGAATTGATAAATGGGCGTTGATCTGCGGAGCCCGCTATACAACATCGCGGCCGACGTAGGCATCCCCAATACTTGGGTCTTAGGGGTTTTGTTCTGTCTCTGTTTTTACAACCAAAACATCAGGCGTTCAACATGAGATCCAAGACGTTTTCACCGTCTTAGTGGGCCACTTCAACTTGGCCCACAACCCTCTTTGATTTCCTTTTTCCTTTTCAGTCAAACTACCCCATCTCACCCTAGTCTGATGCCACAATTTCGCAACAAGCGTGGATCGATATTAGCAATCGGGGCCAAAGTTGTGAGACCTAAGGCTGGCGTATTGCAAGGCTCCATGGCCTGGTTGAGAAGCGGATCTGATCTGTACGGCAGGGCAATATATTGGCTCTAATGCCAGACAACATTGCCCCGACATGCAGCGTATCCACTCTATGGGTTCGAGTTGGCCTAGACTTGGAGTAGAAATTGGATACCTGCACTCGTCTGATCGAGTTATCTATCCCAAACAATGGAAATCGGTGTTGAGAGTTGGCAGGGTGGAGCTCCTATTCCGATAAGGATGATATTCCTTACGATCGCCCTCACTCTTGATCTACCACTGGGTATCTAGGCATCGTATTACTTTGCATTGCGATGCCTGGTTGGAGAGTTTGTGTGCTCTCGATGCAAGGTGAAGGTGGACCTAGTTGGATATGTATCTACACGGAGATGGAGTGGTGTATGTCTGACCACACCCGATCACACCTGACCACATCGATCTCGGTCAGCATCCGAGCCTTGGGCAAAAAAGGGAAGGGAGAGAGAATAGTACCTCCAGGCCTGCCTCCCACTTTAGGTACCTACCTGTAGTTTCTATGTACCGTACCTAATATTCAGAGCCATCCAAACGAAGAAGTACCTAACAAACTTGAACCAAATCGCCCTCGCTTGTGATACGTATGTGCTTACATAAGTGTATTATGTACCTAGGTATTGTGTTCCACGACGGTGAGACCGTGCACCCTGTGATTGCTGTTGTAAAAGCGGATTGTGGGGAAGTTCCCATTGAAAGTTTTGGAGTGGGCAGTTTTGCTTGGCCCGCGGAACCACGGACTCTTTCCTTTTTTCCTCTTATACAGAACGTCGTAGGTCTATACTCCTCTCGGTCCACGTTTAGAGTCCAATCAACCTATTCTTATCATGATGCTACTTTTTGCATGCAGATGCTCCAATTATAACTCAAACGCTATCCTTTTCGAATTAAGCTCGTGTAGGAGGGATGTTCCAAGTACGGGCGGTTCAACACAGGGCATAATCTAACGTGGCAGTCCGTCTACCACTGCCAACACAAAGATATCTGGATCCAGCGCCATTTTCATGTCGAAAAACCATGGGCACTTCAATGAAGTGTTCTGCCGTCTGCGTCGCAGCAGCATTGTTATGAGGACCACTCTATTGCCATTTGGGATCCGGGCTATCTCGTATTCAGCATGGTTGAGCTAAGTGCTGTTTTTGTCAGCGATATTTACAACCATGGACCATCGTTGCCAAATACAAGCACTGTGGCTATTTGTCTGCTAC